TAGCAGCATTATTATAGTCAAAAAGTGGAAATAAACAAATATCCATCAACTGATGAATGGATAAACAAAATATGGTGTATACATACAATGGAATATTATTCAGCCATAAAAAGCAATGAAGTATTGACACATGGATGAACCTTGAAAACATTATGCTAAATGAAAGAAACTAGGTTCAACAGACCACATACTGTATGATTCCATTTATATGAAATATCCAGAATAGGCAAATACATAAAGACAGAAAGTAAATTAATGGTTGCCAGGGGCTGGGGGTGGAGAAGGAATAGGGAGTGACTGCTAATGGGTACAGAGTTTCTTTTGGGGGTGATGAAAATGTTCTGGAATTAGATGGTGGTGATGATTGCACAACCTTGTGAATACACCAAAAACCAGTAAATTTTACACTTTAAAATGGTGAATTTTATGGTATGTGAATTATATCTCAATTTTTTTAAATGCAAAAGAGCAAGGGTGCTGATGGAGTTGGGGCAGGTAGGCAGAAATTCCGTTGGGATGCCAGGCTCTTGGCATGCTAGTCTAGTTCAGGAATGTGCAATGCAGGTCCCCATCCTCAGCCAGAGTGGCTCCATTTCAGCTCCCACTTAAGATTTTTGTATGAATAAGGGGGTCCCCGGCTAGAGAGGCTAAAAAAAGCTCCTAGCCTAATTGATTGCAAAGAAACTCCTCCTAAACTTTTTGAAAAACATTTTCTTTCTTTTCTTTTTTTTTTGGTTTTGGGAGGGGATTAGGTTTATTTATTTATTTAAGGGAGGCACTGGGGATTGAACCCAGGACCTTGTGCATGCTAAGCATGCACTCTACCACTGAGCTATAACCTCCCCCTCCTCCTCAACTTCTAAAGCTCCAGACTTGTGGAAAGATAGTATGAGGAGTGGCTGGATGGTCAACACTCCAACAGAGACCAGCAGCCCAGACAAGGGTTGGAGTATCACAAGCAGCATGGGTGGCTGGAGCCCTGCCATCTGGCACAGTGTCCACTAGCAAGGCTCCCTCTGGCACAATCTGGTCTCAGGGGAGCACTGACACATTCAGGAAGTCCAGTTCCATTCATAAACCTTGACTGAGCATGTTCTGGCTCTCACTCTCAGATAGGTGCGCCAAGTCCCTGTCCTCAGGCGGCTCAGACACAAGACGTGTAAACGTGCACTGCTGACTGCTCTGCTCCCCTCTCTTGAACTGAACTGGGATCATGAGCTCACTGTCTCTCAAGGGGCAGCAAGACAGCAGCAGGGGAGTAGCTTTTAGCTGGGGGAAAGGAGGGAAGGGAGGAGAATGAGTTATGACTGGGCACTTACTCTGTGCTAGACACACAGGAACAGACACCTATATGGTTTAGCTTCTTCTTCACAACATCCTTGAGCAGTAGGTGAAGGGATTTGTCCCAGGTGCTTCGAGCTAGTATGTTGTGGAACTGGGACCGGAACCCAGGACTACCTGATTGGAAAGTCTGTGCTCTGGAGAAGCTGGGAGTTCACCCAGAGTTTTTCTCATAGGCTCCTCCACTGGACAGTTTCTAGCTCACACGGTTTACACATTACTTGCTCATTCATTCATTCCACAAATTTCCCTGAGTACGTATTTGGTGCTAAGTAATATATTAGGCAACAGAAACACAAACCTGAATTCCTGAAAAAGGCATAAGCCCCGCCCTCAAGGATTTATAACATAATGGGAGCCAGGCCTGAACAGAGACATAAGACCAGGAGCTGAGTTAATTATACCACCAAGGGAGGACCTGTGATAGTGTGGCCAGATGGCAAGGGGTTTTAATTTGAGAATGAGAATTCAAGGTTTGGTGCAATGGGGACAAATCGATTGCCAATTCTCTGCCCATCCCCCACCCTGTTCCATAGCTGTGTGGGGTTTGGGAGAACAAGCAGTCACCATCAGAGAGAGTTGAGGGGAAGTGGTATTCTGGGGCACAGCTTCTCCACCACAGCAGGAAGTGGAGAGAGGGCTTGCCGAGCAGGCTGAGGTTTAGGGGGGGTTATTGGCTACAGAACTTTGGTTTGGGAGGGCTCAGTCAGAAGGGTCTTTGGAAAGCGGGCAGTGGGTGCCTGAGTGGGAGTGAGTTTTGGAAGGAGGATGTAGATAATCAGATCGGTCAAGGGTGACAGGGATGAGAGACTGAGGGACTGAGACATTGCTGTCCTGATGGAAACTATGGGGTTTCATTTCATACTCAGGTTTCTGAGGCTATTTTCAGTACAGGAAACAAGCTATGGTCTCTGCTCAGCATACCAAATAGAATACGGGGAAAATTTGTTAGGAAGTGTGAAGGGGAAATTCAGCCTCAAATCAGGCTGGAAGCCACCAGCTCTGTGTAAATTGTGGGAAGAATTTAGCCTGGGGTGGGGAAGGAAGGTGGCTACTAGGTTTAACTCAAACCTTGATGTTTAGTTGGTTTTTCTTATCCTCTTAACTGTCAACCTGTCTGTTCATTTAGTGAATACTTCCTCCCCTTCAAACTTTCTGTCCCTTATCATTGTTTCCAGTTAATATCTGGTTTAACGGAGAAGTGGCATGGTGCTATGGAAAGAGCTTGGAGTATGGTACCAGCAGACCAGAATCCAATTACTTGATGAAAAGTCCCAATTCCATAGTTAGTCAGGGACGAAATCAGCTAGGGCTAGAATGCAGGATTTAGAACTCCAATTTTTCCATGTTTCTCTGCCATACCATGTAATGCAGAGCCTGACTTTCTTAGCTTCCCTGAGCTTCAGTTTCTTCATCTGCACAAATACCTTCCTTAATAATATCTACCTTACAGAGGAGTATGAAGATTAAATGACATGTGAATCCCATAACAGAGTGCCTGGCCACTGTGTGCCCCAAATATGTTTTTAAAATAATTTTTATCATACAAAAATTACTTGGTTCTATGGCTGCACATGATAGGTGTTTAAATGAATTTCACTATACATGTTATGGGCTGAATTGTGTCCCCCTCAAAATTCATATGTTGAAATACAAACCCCTACTATCTCAGAATTCAACTGTATTTGGAAAGAGGGTCTTTAGAGAGGTAATTAAGTTAAAATGAAGTTCGTAAGGCGGGCCCTAATCCAGTATGGTTGGTGTCCTTTTAAGAAGAGGAAATTCGGTCACAGACTTGTACAGAGTATTCCATGTGATGACACAGGGAGAAGATAGCCATTTACAAGCAGAAGAGAGAGATCTCAGAAGAAACCAATCCTTATCTTGCATGTCTAACCTCCAGAACTGTAAAAAAAAATTAATTTCTGCTATTTAAGCCACTCAGTCTATGGTACTTTGTAATGGCAGCTCTAGCAAAAGAGTACAACACATACAAGTTATACCTTTTAAACTGGTGGACAGAGAGCTCCCACATTCTGAAGAGTAGAAACTGTTTCTTGCTCTATGTTGTCCAAAGTTCCAACAGAAAGCACCAATGATGCTGGGCCTACTGGGCTGACCAGGCCACATTGGAGGGAGTTATTTCTCCCTTGGCTCTTGGCTGCTAAGGTCATTCGAAAAAGTAAGACTTTTCTTTTATGAAGCGACTGGTGACTTACTGAGCAGAAATGCTTGTCATGGTCAGCGAGAGAATGCATTATTCCTCATGGTCCATTCCCGTGCTGCTTTCTGGCTGGAAGGGTGTGCGGTCTTGGATGAAGACATGGAGGGACAGCGCTGCGTCTGTGGTGTCCCTGGTGTTCTCTGTCCCAGGACAGTGGAGACAGAGGAGACAGAAGAGAAAGAAGTAGTTTGAGGTGGAAGGAAGGAAGAGAGATGCATGATGTGAATCTCAGGACCCTTTCCACTCACGGAAGTGGAGAGCTGTGTCTGTGGATCAGCGGGATTTGGAATCCGATCTTTTGCTGGGCACTGTGTGTCGGGAGGCTCTGGGAGGACCACATTTAGCCCCCCACAGCACTTTTGCTTGGGAAAGCCGCCCAGGGCTA